TGTCATTAAGGTTGTGAGCAAAGAAAGGCTTCCTAAACTGATAAAGAGAAGTTTAATTGGGATGATACTGCAATATGAACTGTTCTCTCTGACATGGTGTTTTAAGAGAACTTATCTTCAAGCAACTTTCCAGAAGACTTCCATGATCCTCTTGGGGAAAATCTTCCTTCTGTTCTAAGTTCAGAACAGTACTTTGTGTTTCCATTATGAGCTCATGTTCCATTTTGTATTATAATTATTTATGTGTCACAGTCCCCTAGTAGATGATAAGCTCCATAAACTGTTTTATTTATGTTTGCAACATCCCCAGTGCCTATCACATAAGTCACTTTAAGAAATATTTGATGAATGAAATTGAATTCAATTACTCTACTCAGTAAATAAATATTCCTGAAAATCTGAGGGTAAATTTTAAAATAAATTGACTTATACTGAATTATAGTGTATTACTTTTTCTAAAACACACTTACATCATGTCATTCTCCTGTTCAATAATCCTCCCCATAGCAAGAAGCCCTCAATCTTTTCAGAGGAGTATTAATTTCCAGGATCTGATACACTGACATCACTGTCAAGCAGAAGGAAGGATGCACTTAAGAGGCCTAAGTGTAGGACCAGCTGTGTTCCTTTGTACTCTAAATCTGCAGGAAAAGGTACTAGGTGGGGAAGGGTCTATGACAGAATGGACCCTGGGGCACAGATCTAGGGGCACAGAACCTGGGGCACTAAGGTTTCAAGAGTGAATAGATTCTAGTCTACTAAGTAAGGCTCCCATACCTACAGGATAAAGTAGAGTACTTAGTCTGCCACTCAATGTCCTCTAAATGCTTACCTCAACTTACTCTTCCAACTTCATACTCTCCACCTACCTTATATAAACCACCTGCTCTGTATATTTTTCTTGGAATGTTTCTTTCCTTCCATATCGGACTATTTTTCAAAACACTGCCCCCCTCCCAGTCTTCTTTCAAGCTCTAACTCAAATTCTACCTCCTCCAGAAAAACTTTACCTTACCACCACCCCATCCCAAAATGACTTCTAAACTCTGCATACACTTTCTCTTTGCTTTTTGACACTTGTACAACTTATTATTGTAATTTTTATCTGAATATGAACTCACCTCCATTATATTCTAAGTTCCTTGAGGTCAGAGGGCCATTATCTATCTTGCATTCACAGAGCACCTAACACAGTATTTTGCACACATGAAGGACAAAAATTTTTGCTAATTGAATTTGTCCTGATGACTTACATTACTATTTCAGAAATATTTTTCTTTTTGTGACAATTCTTCAATACAGAAGAGTGCCATTATTTTTAGCTTTACATTTGTCACTCACACCTGACTCTCACTTTCAGACATATTAAGATCTACCAAAAATAACACCTTTCATTCAGTCCTCAAGCCTTTTCCATCTGGCTCCCAACCATATCATCTCAGATCTGGAGGTCTTTTCTCAGCCCTTATCCATTTCAACAGCTTGACCCTTTCCTCCCAGATATTTTCTCTTCTCTGGATTTTCCTGACACAATCCTCTTCTGATCCTCCTAACAACCTCTTCTCAGTCTCCTTTGTTGGCATATCATAAATATCATTATCCTGTTAATTTTCCATAATGTTGTGACCTAGGCCCCCTACCCTCCACAGTCTCTCTCTTGGTAACCTCACTTCTCACTAGCTCTTATGGATATTTCAAATTAGATGTCTCTGAGATATATCCCAAATTGTACATATCCAAAATTGAACTCATTACCTCTTCCTCCAAGCCCTTCCCTTTACTAAACATTCCTATTTATATTAAAGGCATCACTATCCTTTAAGTCTCCCAGTTTCACATTATCAACGTTATTCTCGACTCCTCTGTTTCACCCTACATACTCAATCAATTGCAAATGGCCATTTCTACCTCCACAGCATTTCTCTCATTCCTCACTACTTCCCCTTCTCCCCCACTCATACCTACCACCATAGTTTAGGCCAGAGGTCAGGAACCTGTGGCCTGGAGGCCACATGTGGGTTTCTAGGTCCTCAGGTATAGTCTTTTGAACAAGTCCAAGTTGTACTGAACAAATCTTTTTATTAAGTGGATTTGTCCTATGAAGTTTAGATTCAGTCAAAGGGCCATACTTGAGGACCTAGAGGGCCACATGTGGCCTTGATGCAAAAGGTTCCCCCACCCCCTCTCTTTACATCCTGGCCAGATTATTACAACAGCTTCGATTCAAATCATGTTTCTCATGCTTGCTAGCTCTATTACTCTACTACCCTAGGCCTCTGAGGAAGTTGGTGTAGATTGTCTCTGAAGTTCCTTCCACTTTTAGATACACTACTGATTCACCTATTTAAAAGAACTCAGATGAAGGTTTGTTTTTAATAAAGTCAAGAATCATTCTATAAAAGAAATAATGTTTCTAATTTCTTGAGGCAGCAAGGTGGATTGAGCATTGGGCCTGGAGTCAGCAGGACCCGAGCTGAAATCACCTTCCAACACTTGCTAGCTGTGTGACCCTGTGCAAGTCACTTAATCTGGGAATAATAATAATAGCATCTACCTTCCAGGGTTGTTGTGAGGATCAAATCAGATAATATTTGTAAAGCACTTAGCACAGTGCCTGGCACATAGTAGACACTACATAAAGGCTTATTCCCTTCCCTAATTTATTTTATAAGTTCAGAATGCTGCAAACCATATGGTAGTCAACCTTGTGACAGCAGGAGGGACCAGGAAGCTTAAAGCAGAGTGACCCTTCAAACAAGGAAAGCACCCCACCATATTAGAGTGCTTTGGATCCCTCACCTCTATGCCCCTCGAGGGGGTCCATAGTTGGCCATTTCAGTCAGTCCTTCTTCCTCTCCTGTACAATTGCTTCTTCTCGAATTCCTGCCAGAAAGTCCACGCCTCCATCTAGCTGAAAAAATTTCACTTATCCTGCAAATCCCTCAAATTATCATCCTATGCTTCTTCTCCCTTTCATACCCAATATCCTACACTTGTTGGCTACACTTGATACATTTGTACCTCTACTACTTTAGCTCCCACTTTCTTTTCAATCTCTTGCAGTCTAATTTTGACCTAACACTACTCAACTGAAAAAGCTTCTTCCAAGGTCATGAGTGTCCTCTTAACCGTGAAATCCAACAGCGTCTTCTTAGTCCTCATCCTTCTTGATCCTTTAGGGACATTTCAAATTGTTATCCATTCCCTGCCCCTGGTTACTCCTTTATCGCATGACACTGTTCTCACCTGTACCTACCTTTTTAACCACCCCTCAGTATCTTCTGTTGCATCATTCTCTATTTCCAATCACCCGATGCATATTATCCAAGGCTTTATCCTGGTTCCTTTTCTCTTCTATCTCTGCACCCTCTACCTAAATGATTTCATAAGCTAAGTTCCAGATAATTTTATATAAATAGTTCTTCAGTCTACGTATCTCCTCTGCAACTGTCTTTTGAAATTCAGTTACACATCACCAACTAACTGCCAGCTAGACATCTCTACTTAGATGATCTACTGGTATCTCAAATTCAAGATATCCAGAACAACTCATTATATTTTCCCTTAAATCTTCTCCTATATCAAACTTTCCTATTTCCTCTGAGGGCAATCATCAGTCTTCCAAGTCATCCAGGTTTGCAATCTCAAATTGGTGAATGACTCTTCTTTCTCCCTAACCCTCCAAATTCAATTAGTTGCCAAATCTTTTCATTCTTCTTCCATAACACCCCTCATGTACCTTTTCTCTTCTCTTTCTTCACAAAGTCATCCAAAGCCTAATCACTTCTTACTTACATTCCTGCATGGAAAGATGATATTTATAACTCATGAGACTATTGTCAGTATTAGGGTAGTTGGAGGGGAAAATTATATGTGTGTGGATAGATAGATAGATAGATAGATAGATAGATAGATAGATAGATAGATAGAGGGCACAGGGGGAGATGAAGATGAAGGGGTAATATATAAAAATAAAACTAAGGGGTAAGAGAGGATTATACTGGGAGGAAAAAGGGAGAGATAGAATGGGGCAAATTATCTCACAAAAAAACAGAAAAGAAAAGGCTTTTTTACAGTACAGGGGAAACAGGGGAAGGGAAGAGGGAATGAGTGAATCTTATTCTCATAGGATTTGGCTTAAGGAGGGAATAACATACACACTCAATTGGCTATGGAAAGCTGTCTTACCCTATAGAAAAATAAGGGGAGAAGGGTACAAGAGAGCAAGGGAATGATAGAGAGGAGGGCAGATTGGGAAAGGGGGTAATCAGAAGCAAACATTTCTGAGTAGGGACAGGGTCAAAAGAAAGAACAAAATAAATGGGGGATCAGGATAGGATGAAGGGAAATAGAGTCAGTTTTTCACAACATGACTACTATGAAAGTGTTTTGCATTAACTGCAAACCTATAACCTATATGGAGTTGCTTGCCTTTTCAATGAGGGTAGGTGGAGAGGGAGGAAGGGAGAAAATCTGGAACCCAAAGTTTTAAAAACACATATTTTTTAAAATGTTTTTACATGCAACTGAGAAATAAGAAATACAGGAAATGGGGTACAAAAATCTATCCTGCCCTACAGGAAAATAGAAGAGGAAGGGGATAAGAGAAGGGGGGGGAGAGATAGAAGGGAGTGCAGACTAGGGGAAGGGATATTCAGAATACATGCCATCTTGGGGTAGGGGAGCAGCGAGAAAATTTGGAACTCAAAATCTTGTGGAAGTAAATGCTAAAAATTAAAAATAAATAAATTTTATAAAAAAGGAAATACTGGTTCAAGAACATGCTGGCTATTAGTGGGCTCCCCTTATGTTCACATGATCTCCCAATTCACAAGGAGTTGCCCCCAACTAACACTGAAGTACAGTAGTCCTTTGACCATGACCTCCTCTCGATCATCAGTCATCACCTGAGATATGGATAGTGCAGTGGGAAGTGGAGACTGCGGTTTTCATTGGCTAGTATGAAAGTTCTTGGTTATTAGCCAAATTCAAACGCTGACCTTAAAGGTTTCCCTGGAGAGTCTGATGGCAATCTCAGTGGGTTTATACCTGACCTTGCTAGATTCTGAGATAGTCTGTCAATTCTCTTGTCTGACTTCAATGTCTTCTGGGTCACAGTTGACTGCTGGGATGGTATTATAAGTTTTAAATTATGGGAAGAAGAAAGGGTGGAGCCTATACTTTGAGGTTAAAAAATAATGCTCTGACTGAAGATGTGAAATGGACCACAGAAGCATAATGTAATGATATCTATAAAGAACCACTAGTTTTCAGGACAGTAATTTACAAAATATTGCTTCAGTCTATGGCTTTCTCCCTCTGGCCATCAAGCTAGGAGAAGGACATAGTGGAAATCTGAAGCACAAAGTTCTGACCAGAAATAAAAAATAAATTGTGCTTATAATTACAGATAAAATGGTCATGCCAGGGATTAAGCCAGAGTATCTCCTAAAAGTCTAGCTTTACTGCTCTCAAGTAGTAAAGGAGAATCAGGACAATAAACAAACAAATAAAAAGCCACAATTTTGGTCAAAGTGTCTACCACCATAAAGGTGTCTACTATTATGTCTTGAGCCTGGAAGAGAATTATGTAATGAAATTCAAGGCAATCAAGTACTAAATTAGAGGATTTAGATGCCCAAGCATCTTCAAAGGGACTCTCAACCCAGAAATCGAATGCACACAATTGGACATAGTAAATTATATTGTATGATGCCTAAGGCCACTGAAAATCCTGGGTAACAGGATGGAGAGTCTTCTATATGCCTACACAAAATATGCCTTGGACACTTATTAACTGTGTGATCCTGGGCAAGCCACTTAATCCCTGTTTGGCTCAGTTTCTTCACCTGCAAAATGGGGATAATAATAGCATCTACCAGCTAGGATTGTTGTGAAATAAAATGAGATAACATTTGTAAAAACACTCTCCAAATTCTAAAGTACTATACTGTTGTTGTTATATGCCCATCTTCTGGTCTGCAAATATGTATGGTATCACTTGAATTTGTGTTGGCAGAACAAAAGATGAGTGGGCATATATTTGTATTCACACACAAGCATTGTTCTTCAGAGATATATTTCCCCTTCCATGGAAAGGGTCAAGTCTTTCCACTAGGTAGTCTGAAGAGTCTAAGTGAAAGCATTTTGCTAACATTTCTACCAGATGAATTCTACTCTCTCTAGCTATACCAGAGAGGCTGCAAACTTCCAGGTCTGGATACTTCCTGGTGTGGAAAAGAGAACACTCTTCTTCTGAGTGCCCACACTGACTCTGCACAACAATTCACTGGCACAACAACATTGTCAGTGAGAAACAGCAGATACAGCAGTAAAACATTCTCATTAAAACAACAACAAAAAAGGGATGGGCATATCAAATCTGAAATCTGTCACAGCAGTCATCAGTTATAAAGTCTTTCAAAGTTATTTTTCTATAAATAGTATTGTATTTTTATAAATTATTCTCCTAGTTCTGCTCACTTTATTCCACATCAGTGCAGAGAAGTCTTCTCGGTTTTCCTTTAAAATTGTCCATTTCACATCTTTTAAGGCACAATTCATACATCATAATTGTATGGTCATTCCCCATTAGGTGAGAATCCTCTTAGTTTCTGGTTCTTTCTCATCACAAGAAGAACTGATTCAAATAGTTTTCTCCATCTGGATCCTATATGTGTCATTATGTTATCAACCATGTCAATGACAAGATACAGGTAAGCCACTCTGGGGCCACAGGTCCAAAGTCTTTCAGAGTGTCCCAATTCACAGCTCTACCAAGAGTGAGATTATGTGCCTGTTTGGCTACAGCATCTCTGACATATGTTATATTCCCCTTGTATCATCTTTATCAATCTGATGAGAATGAGACAAGAGCCTAGGTTGCTTAGATTTGCATTTCTCTAATTATTAGTGATTTGGTGTACTTTTTCTTGTAGTTGTTTATAGCTTGGATTCTTTCCTTTAAAAACTGTTCACATCTTTTGAATATTCACCTGTTGGGAAGTTACTCTTAGTTTTATAAATTTAAATCAGTTCCTTATATATCTTTGATAACAGACTTCTTCTAGGAAAACTAGTTAAACAAGGATATTTTTCCCCAGTATCTATTTCCTTCCTAATTTTAACTACATTTATTTCATTTGTACTGAAACTTTTCAATTTAACATAAACAAAAACTATTCAATTTATCTTCCATGAGCCTCTCTATTCCACGCTTGGTCATAGATTCTTTCCCTATCCAAAGGTCAGAAAGGTAATTTCTTCCTTGCTCCTCTAACTGGCTTATGATGCCATTTTTTTCCTGTCTAAGTCATGTATCAATTTGTAGTTTATCTCAGTTAAAATATAGTGTTAATTGTTGGTATATACCAAATTTCTTTCAGATTATTTCCCAGTTTTCCCATAAAATTTTGACAAATTGTGTGAGTTTCTACCCCATTAACTATGAACTCTGGGCTTATTGAAATTATTGCTTTGATATGTTGTATACCTACACTGTTCCACTGATCAATCAATCTTTTTTCTTTGTCTAACATCAAATCATTTCGATGAGTACTACTTTGTAGTATATTTTGAAATTTGGTACTAATATTCTCCCTTCTTTCCTATTTTTCTCCCATTATTTCCTTTGAGATTTTTGATCTTCTGTTCCTCCAGATCAGTTTTGCTGTTACTCTTTCTAACTCTTGTGAAAAATGATTTTTCTTAGTAACCATTATCTTGGAGACTCAGAGCTTTCCCCATCCCCCTTTATCTAACCTAATGGCTCTATTCCTGTTCATTGTGTTGCTTAGACAGGTCTGGGAAAATGTTAATTACTCCCTATCGTCAAGACAGGTGGTATGGAAATCGATGTCTCTTTGACCTGGATTAAGTGACCTAAGTCTCATACTTGGAAACCCTGATTTTAATATAGCCACCTCCCAGTGTGTTGACCAATTAGAGTTGATTGGTACCCTTTGGGAACACCTACTCTTCGAAGGGCATATAACTCTGTACTCCCAACCCCCAAACTGAGCTAGTTCTGAACTATAACTCCATGTCAAACAGCTTGAGAAAAATTAAACATGGACACACAACCTAATAATTTGTCTGTTTCTTAGATCACACTTTGTGACAGGTTGACACTCTATAAACTAATCCTTTGGTAGTTTGGAAGAGCGTTTAATAATTTAAGCAGCACTGTTTTATATATATATATATATATATATATATATATATATATATATATATATATATATATATATATATATATATATATATATTTTAATATTAGCATGAAAATATTTTTCAGTGATTTAGACTGTCTTTATTTTCATAAAAATACTTTGTGGTTGGATTTATTTCCCAAATAAAATGTGGTAGATGGACTCCTAAATATTTTTAATATTCTGTTGCAATACTGAATGGAATTTTTATTTCTAACTCTTCCTACTGGGATTGGTAGGTAATATATAGAGATGCTGATACTTTATGTAGCTTTTTTTTAATATCCTGCAACTTTGCTGAATTTACTGTTTCAAAGAATTTTAGTTGGTTCTTTAGAGTTCTCTAAATAAATCATATTATCTACCAAAAACTATGATTTTGCTTTTTCTTTGCTTAAACAGCAGTGGCAGTAATGGACTTCGTTGTTCTACTCTGATCTTACTGGAAAGGACTTTAAATTTTCTCCACTAATATCACACTTGCTCTTAGTTTTAGACATTCTTTAATATCCTAAGGAAAAGTCAACTTGTTCTTATGATTTTATTTTTTTAAAGAGAAGTTAGTGTTAATTCTTTCAAAAGGCTTTTCAGCATCTATTAATATTATTATGTGGTTTCTCTTCATTTCATAATTTATGTTAATATGGTTTAGTATGCTTATAGTCTTTCTTATATCGAACCAACCCTGCATTCCCAGTATATATTCAAAGTGTTCGAACACCTGCCCAAAGTGTTTCCAACGAATAATTCTGCTTCCTGGTCATTTCTGTGTCACATAAAAACATGAGGTGTGTTTGGTCAAATCAGAGAAAAAATGAAACTAACAATTTAAGGGAGCAGTCTACTTGCTTCTTTGAACTGATGGGAGTGATTTTGATCAAAATGGTTGAGACAGTTATAGAAGCAGCTCTCACACAGAACTAGAACTAGATGCTGTGTCAAAAAATAGAGCTGGGTAGGAATCTCAGGTATTTGTTATATAAGCCGGAGCAAGTCACACAATTCTCAGAGTCCTGGTTTCTTTCATGGTAAAATGGAAGCATTTGTAGATGAAACAAGAAAATAACAGATGATTTTTACATATAATGTTCTGATTATTAACGTCTCACTCTCTTGTCCTTTGTTCTGGAAGTGAGTGTAACTTAGGGGAGATGATGCCATGACGTGCAAGTGAATTGCATTTAAGTGAAAGAGAGCTATGCAGTCCTCACTTTCTTCTTCAGAGCCACATGGGTCCAGTGGCCAGATAGAGATCAGGACAACTGGAAATGGCCCAGGAGAGTTTACAGTGGCAACCCACCCACCAAGTTACATGATGGGCACAGCAGTGACTAATGGAAGGCAGCTTAAATGGGGCAAGGACAAAGCACTCATTACATCTTTACTCTCCATTACATCCTCTACATTTTTAAATGATGGGGAATAATGGGAAATCAAGCAGAAAGGCAAGATGGCAACTGTATTTTGAAAAGTTCTAAATACCAAACAGAGGAGCTTGTGTTTTATTCCCTTACCTGTGAGTGCTCTACCCAAAGGGAATGTAAATTTTAAACTCTGAAACCTTCCCCCCCAAAAAAATAAAAGAGCAACCTCAACCCCAAATAACTCTGGCTCTCATTGACAGGCCAACAACAGGTCCTAGGCCAAGCCCTACTAGGTTGTTGTTTGGGCCCAGATTGACTCAGAATGAATGTAAATAGCAATTATTTCTGTTTTGGGAGGAAACCTTGAGGGTCTTCCACTCCCAGGCAGATTAGATTTATTTTTGACTAGATAAAGAAGCCGTTCCTAGCCTCAATTCTAATTAAGCCTTAATCACTGAATGGGTGTCGCCTCAGTCAAACTGAGACCTGTTAAATACCTTAGCTTCAAAAGGCATACAACACTCTATGATGGATGAAAATTTACAGGT